GCAAGCGGGCCGGGCGTGGTGGCTCAAACCTGTAATCCCAGCACTTTGGGAGGCCGAGGCAGGTGGATCACAAGGTCAGGAGATCGAGACCATCCTGGTCAACATAGTGAAACCCCATCTCTACTAAAAATATAAAAAATTAGCTGGGCATGGTGGCGCATGCCTGTAATCCCAGCTACTCAGGAGGCTGAGGCAGGAGAATTGCCTGAACCCAGGAGGCGGAGGTTGCAGTGAGCCGAGATCATGCCATTGCACTCCAGCCTGGGTAAAAAGAGCGAAAATCCGTCTCAAAAAAAAAAAAAATGACCAACAAGCACATGAAAGCATGCTGAGCATCATTAATCATTAGGGAAATGCAAATCAAAACTACAGTAAGATACCACTTCTCACCTATTAGGATGGCTATAATCAAAACAATGGAAATAACAGGTGTTAACTGGGATATAGAAAAAATGACACTAACATACACTGAGGTGGGAATATAAAATAGTGCAGCCACCATCATTAACAGTTTGGCTTTCCCTAATAAGTTAAACATAGAATTACCATATGACCCAGCAGTTGCACTCTCAGGTACACACCCAACATAAGTGAAAACAGGTATCCATACAAAACTTGTGCAGGCATGTTCATTTTAGCACAATTCACAGTAACCAAAAAGTGAAAATAACTCAAACGTCCGTCAAGTGATTAATAGTTAAACAAATGTGATACATTCGTATAATTGGAATATTATCCAACCATGAAAATAAATGAAGTAACCTGATACATGCTACAACACAGGTGAACCTGGAAAGCAACATGCTAAGTGAAAGAAGTCAGGCACAAAAGGCAGATGTATTATTTCCATTCCTATGAAATATCCAGAGGCATATGGGTATTTGCCCAGCTACAGAATGGCAATCTGTAGAGCTGAAAAGCAGGTTGTGGGCTGCAGGAGTGGGTAAGAAGGTGAAATACCTGCTTCGTGGGTGTACAGGGTTTCCTTTTGGGGTTATGAAAGTCACCTGGAACTAGAGAGTATGTTGATGGTATGACATTTTGAATACTCAGTATATCTCTGAATTGGATACATTAGAATAGTTTAAAAGGTCAATTTTATGTGCACTTTACCACAATGAAAGCATGCATAAACACATGCATCCTCACACAAAAGGGAGGGGCTGAGATCTGAAGAGCATGGCATGTGCCACCATCTGAATACGGCTCCCAGAGAGGAGTTACCATATGCTGGCTGGTGGTGAGCACAGATAACTACAGGAGTACGGGCTGTCGCCGGCTATGTAGAGGAGGCCCTGAGCCTTCCTGTGTGAGCGCAAGGTCAACAGCCACAGTCAGAGCTCACGCTTCTTTTCCTGTCCTGCCCCAGGAGCACATCCTGCAGGGCTGTGTTTCCTTCCTGGCTGAGAATCTAGTTGCCAAACCACCTTTCCTCTGAAGGAATCAACCATGATGTTTCCCCAGTTCCATTTTTCACTTTTATATTACTGGGTAGGTAGTTACCACATCCCATAATAGCACTTTATTCTGGCCCTATCCAGTACTGTTCTTACAAATGCAGAAGCAAAGAACTTGAATAGACATTTGTGCAATATTGAATAGCTGTATGAACATTTTAGCAGTGTTGAGTTGCAGGCATGTTTTATGTATTCCTCTGTCCATTTTAGGAGAGGCTTTTCTTTTCCCTCCATACGCATTATTTCATGTCAGTGCCAGACAAATTGGATGAGCAAGCAAATAAACCCTCTTTACAAGCCTTCGCGAAAAGACGGTATCCTTTATTCTTTACAGCCTCTTCTCTCTCACGCTGCAGCCTGAGCAGCTTCCCAAGGAAAGTCAGCCAACCCGAGGCAACTAGAGTGCCACAGAATAAAGCCACACCTCAGTCTCATGGGTGCTCTTACAGATTTTGTGCCATAAAAGATTGCAGTTGTGTTTGGGCACATAGCTTTTCCAGTTGAAAAGTTTTTCATCAGAACCTTGAGTCTGGCCAGGCGCAGTTGCTCACACTTGTAATCCCAACACTTTGGGAGGCTGAGGCAGGCAGATCACTTGAGATCAGGAGTTCAAGACCAGTCTGGTCAACATGAAACTTCATTGCTACTAAAAATACAAAAATTAGCCAGGCGTGGTGGTGCGTTGGCACGTGCCTGTGGTCCCAGCTACTTGGGAGGATGAAGCATGAGAATCGCTTGAACCTCCAGGAGATAGAGGTTGCAGTGAGTCTCCAAAAAAAAAAAAAAAAAAACCTAGTACAGTACAGGAGCTCATGCCTGTAATCCCAGCACTTTGGGAGGCCAAGGCAGGTGGATCACAAAGTCAGGAGTTAAAGACCGGTCTGGCCAACATGGTGAAACCCTGTTTCTACTAAAAATACAAAAATTAGCTGGGTGTGGTGGCACATGCCTGTAATGCCAGCTACTCGGGATACTGGCAGTAAAATCTCTTGAACTACGGAGGTTAAGGTTGCAGTGAGCTGAGATGGAGCCTCTGCACTCCTGGCTGAGCAACAGAGTGAGACTCTCTCAAAAAGAAGATATAGATATAGATATATATAAAACCTTGAGTCGTAGAACATTGAGTAGTGTCTTCATAGTTCCTGAGTAAAATCAGGAACACATGTACTACTAAGGTGACATGTTTAGGTAACAGTACTAAATTCATTTTATCTAAATTTCCTCTCCTTGACGATGTTTTTTGAGATGGAGTCTCACTTTGTTACACAGGCTAGAGTGCAGTGACATAGTCTCGGCTCACTGCAGCTGCGGCTTAAATGTCCTGAGTTTAAGTGATTCTCCTGCCTCAACCTCTCAAGTAGCTGGGATTACAAGTGTACACCACCACACCCAGCTAATTTTTGTATTTTTAATAGAGACAGAGTTTTGCCATGTTGGTCAGGCTGGTCTCAAATTCCACACCTCAAGTGATTCACAGGCATGAGCCACAGTACCCAGCCAGCCAGTGTTTTCTATTCAATAAAACTTAGAACTCTGTTTTGTGACTTGAATTGGGTTTAAGTTCTTTTCAAGAGAATTTAGCAGGTAGACCTGCCTTCATTTTAGCCTACTCACAGATTAGACCTAACTAAATAGCAGATAGTTTTTAATGCATTTTTCTGTTTTTAAGCATGTGATCTGGCTTCTAAGGAACATACTACCACAGTGTTCTAAATATCAGTCATGAAAGACACTCACCTGCCCCACACTCACCTGGGTACTCTTACTTAGCAGGAGAACTGGGAGCAGTGGGAAGAAGGCTGCATGTTCCCAGCCTTAGAAGAGTCTACAGATCAGAACTCACTCTGAGTGTTACTGGCTTTAGGCCGGTGTAGTTCTTCCAGTTCCCTACTCTTGAGTGCCTACTCGCAGGAATGAGCAGTTGCTTAGAGCCATGGGGAGAGCCCTAGTTTCCACCAGTCCAGCTTTGGGGTCCTTTGTGCTCTACCCTGGTCTCAGGAGCATACCTCTGGAGTTGTTCCTCTCAAGACCATACTTGCTCATGCCAGGTGGGTACAGCAGCACAGCTCCTGCTGTTTGCCTTCAGAGCACTCAGCAGTAGAAGGCAGACACATAAACAATCACAGCCCGAGGTGGTAATTGTTACTTCATAGTTGTGAGCAGAACACTACAGAAGTTCTGTCGTTTATGCACTAGTCACCTGCCCTCCCTCTCACTCAGCTCAGATAGCTCTGAAAAGTGGTAGTCTCCCTATAAGCTTCCTGTGAGCCAGGGCTGAGTCATGTGTATGCCCATGTCCTGGACACAGGGAGTGTGGGATTCTGACACGGGAAGTGGCTTCTGCTAGCGAAGAAGACATAGACTGTTCCCACCCATGTCTATCCCACCTTCAAAAATCAGGTATTCAAAAATCAGGTATGTAACAGGTTTATTCTTACCGGCTCTCAGTTTCCCAGCTTTATATATGCATTAACAGATACATAAGGGCCAGCACGGTGGCTCACGCCTGTAGTCTCAGCACCTTGGGAGGTCAAGGCAGGAGAATTGCTTTCACCCAGCATTTCAAGACCAGCCTGGGCAATATAGCAAGACTCCATGTCTTTAAAAAAAAAAAAAATTTTTTTTTTTTTTTTTTTTTTTGAGACGGAGTTTCGCCCTTGTTACCCAGGCTGGAGTGCAATGGCGCGATCTCGGCTCACCGCAACCTCCGCCTCCTGGGCTCAGGCAATTCTCCTGCCTCAGCCTCCTGAGTAGCTGGGATTACAGGCACGTGCCACCATGCCCAGCTAATTTTTTGCACTTTTAGTAGAGACGGGGTTTCACCATGTTGACCAGGATGGTCTCGATCTCTCGACCTCGTGATCCACCCGCCTCGGCCTCCCAAAGTGCTGGGATTACAGGCTTGAGCCACCGCGCCCAGCTATTTTTTTTTTTTTAATTAATCGGGCATGGTGGTACATACCTGTAATCCCATCTGTTCAGGAGACTAAGGTGGGAGATTCTTGAGCCCAAGAGTTTGAGGTCACAAACTCACTACTATACTCCAGACTGGGTGACATAGCAAGACCTTATCTCAAAGTTTGTATATGTGTATGTATCACATGTAATTTAGGAAGACCTTGAGTTTTTTTCTCTCCATTCTATATATATATATATATATATATATATATATATGTATATACATATATGTATATATATGTATATACATATATGTATATATACGTATATATATACACATATATATACACATATACATATATACAAATATATATATATATATATATATTTTTTTTTTTTTTAAATAGAGACGGGGTTTCACTATGTTGCTCATACGAGTCTCAAACTCCTGAGCTCAAGTGATCTTCCTGCTTTAGCCTCTCAAAATTCTGGGATTACAGTCATGCACTACTGTGTCTAGCCTTTTCTCTCCATTTTAAACCTATGGATTTCTATAACAAATATAGCAGTCCTTTTCTAAATGCCAGGTATTAGGCACTATGTCAGGGTGCTTTATGTTTTGTCTGTCACATTTTCTTATTTCAGTGAAGAAAAAATGACTGCTGCCCGCATTAGAAAATGCCACAAGTGTGGGACTGGCCTCATCAAATCTGAAGGCTGCAACCGCATGTCTTGCCGCTGTGGTGCCCAGATGTGCTACCTCTGTCGAGTTTCTATCAATGGATATGACCATTTCTGCCAGCATCCCCGCTCCCCAGGAGCCCCTTGCCAGGAGTGTTCAAGATGCTCTCTCTGGACTGACCCCACTGTAAGTAAAGACATGGCTGCCTATTGCTTTATAAGGGAAAAACAGAAATACATTTTTATGACAAATATTTGTATATACATAACAAAATTTGACTTAGAAGAATATAGGAAATTACACAGACTGATAACCAAAGAAACAATTTAAGAAAGGAATTACCAGCTACTTCTCATGCGCTCAAAGCAGCGTGCCCTAGCAGTTTTATAGGCAAATTTCTTCTAATTCTTCAGGAAATAAAATTTTTCTATGCCCTCTGAAATATCCCAAAGTAAGGAAACTTACAAATTTATCTGTTCAAAGCCAGCATAATGATGATCCCAAAGCCTGACAGAGATAGCCCTAACAAAGAAAACTGAGTCACTTACAATATAGATTTAAATTAGCTAAGTAAAATATTAGCAAATAGAAAGCATGACCAAGCGAGTTCGTTCCAGAAATGCAATGATAGTTTAATATTAACAACTCTATTAACATGAATCATGGTATCGTATCTGTAGATGGTTTAAAGACATTTAAGAAATCAAATCAAGGCCGGGCACGATGGCTCAAGCCTGTAATCCCAGCACTTTGGGAGGCTGAGGCAGGTGGATCACGAGGTCAAGAGATCGAGACCGTCCTGGTCAACATGGTAAAACCCCGTCTCTACTAAAAATAAAAAAAATTAGCTGGGCATGGTGGCGTGTGCCTGTAATCCCAGCTACTCGGGAGGCTGAGGCAGGAGAATTGCCCGAACCCAGGAGGCAGAGGTTGCGGTGAGCCGAGATTGCGCCATTTCTCTCCAGCCTGGGTAACAAGAGCGAAACTCCGTCTCAAAAAAAAAAAAAAAAAAAATCAAATCAAATACTTGTTCTTAATTTAAGCTTTAAAAATACAGTATTGGCCGGACGCGGTGGCTCAAGCCTGTAATCCCAGCACTTTGGGAGGCCGAGGCGGGTGGATCACGAGGTCAGGAGATCGAGACCATCCTGGTCAACATGGTGAAACCCCGTCTCTACTAAAAAATACAAAACATTAGCTGGGCATGGTGGCGCGTGCCTGTAATCCCAGCTACTCAGGAGGCTGAGGCAGGAGAATTGCCTGAACCCAGGAGGCGGAGGTTGCAGTGAGCCGAGATCGTGCCATTGCACTCCAGCCTGGGTAACAAGAGCGAAACTCCGTCTAAAAAAAAAAAAAAAAACACAGTATTACAAAGGCTATTTTAGACCCCGAATATCAAGACAGTTGTTAGCATGCATTTAGTAGTAAATAAAGTCAAGTATAACACTATCAATCAGCACTACTTTGTTCTGAAACTGCTAGTCAGTGTACTTAGCTAAGAGAATAAAATAAAAGATATAGTAGATACTGGAGACAGTCATAGCTATTGTTTATTGGGCACCTACCATGTGTCAGACACTGTTCTAAATACTTTGTAAGTATTTTATATGTAAAGAAAGGCAAACTGGCTGGGCATGGTGGCTCATGCCTGTAATCTCAACACTTTGGGAGGCCAAGGTGGGTGGATTACCTGATGTCAGGAGTTCAAGACTAGCCGAGCCAACCTGGCAAAACCACATCTCTACTAAAAGTACAGAAATTAGCCAGGCATGGTGGCACATGCCTGTAATCCTTGCTACTTGGGAGGCTGAGGTACGAGAATCACTTGAACCAGGGAGGCAGAGGTTGCAGTGAGCCAAGATCGTGCCTATGCACTGCAACCTGGGTGACAGAACAAGACTCTGTCTCAGAAGAAAAAAAAAGTCAAGCGTGGTGGCTCATGCCTGTAATCCCAACACTTTGGGAAGCAGAGGCAGGCAGATCACCTGATGTCAGGAGTTCCAGACGAGCCTGGCCAACATGACAAAACCTTGTCTGTACTAAAAATACAAAAATTAGCCAGGCGTAGTGGCATGGGCCTATAATTCCAGCTACTAGGGAGACTGAGACAGGAAAATTGCTTGAACCTGGGAGGCAGAGGTTTCAGTGAGCTCAGATTGTATTACTGCACTCCAGCCTGGGCAACAGAGCAAGACACTGTCTCAAAAAAAAAAGGAAAGAAAAGAAAGGCAAACTTAACACTTTAAACCTAGAAAAAAGACAAAATAATTTTGTTAAAAAGCTATTAGAAGCAATAGAAAGATGGCTAAATATAAAATAAGTATGTGGCTGGGCATGATGGCTCACATCTATAATCCCAGCACTTTGGAAGGCTGAGGTGGGTGGACCACCTAAGGTCAGGAGTTCAAAACCAGCCTGGCCAACATGGTGAAACCCCTTCTCTAGTAAAAGTGCAAAAATTAACCAGACATGTTGGCGTATGCCCCTAATCCCTGCTATTCAGGCTGAGGCAGGAGAACCACTTGAGCCTGCGAAGCAGAGGTTGCAGTGAGCCGAGACACATGACTGTACTGCAGCCGGGGCGACAAAGCAAGGCTCTGTCTCATAAAATAAGGATCAATTCTTCTTAAAATTATTTTAAACTAAAAACAAGCACAGTCAGTTCTGAGCTGATCTGTAAGAATAACGATGTCCTTTTTGAGATGGAGTCTCTATTTGTCACCCAGGCTGGAGTCCAGTGGCATGATCTCAGCTCACTGCAACGTCCGCCTCCTGGGTTCAAATGAGTCCCAATTCTCCTGCCTTAACCTCCCAAGTAGCTGGGATTACAGGCGCCTGCCACCACACCTGGATACATTTAGTTTTTTGTGTGTGTGTGTGTGACGGAGTTTCGCTCTTGTTACCCAGGGTGGAGTGCAATGGCGCAATCTCGGCTCACTGCAACCTCCGCCTGCTGGGTTCAGGCAATTCTCCTGCCTCAGCCTCCTGAGTAGCTGGGATTACAGGCACGTGCCACCATGCCCAGCTAATTTTTTGTATTTTTAGTAGAGACGGGGTTTCACCATGTTGACCAGGATGGTCTCGATCTCTTGACCTCGTGATCCACCCTCCTCAGCCTCCCAAAGTGCTGGGATTACAGGCTTGAGCCACCGCGCCCGGCCACATTTAGTATTTTTAGTAGAGAAAGGGTTTCACCATGTTGGCCAGGCTGGTCTCAAACTCCTGACCTCAGGTGATCCACCCCCTCGGCCCCCCAAAGTGCTGGGATTACAGGCGTGTGTCAGCACATCTGGCCAGAATAATGATGTCATAATGCGAGAAGACGTCTCTGCAGAAAGGTGATTGCATGTGACAGTGAGCTCCCTGCTGACTTGGAGCAAGTGCACCAAGACCACTAGGAGGCAGGCCTGGTGACAGGTGGCATTTATCCGCTTTCATTGGAAAGAATGAAGGAGGCCTGGGTAGTGGAGACATATGCCTATCCTCTAAGGCAGGCGTCCCCAAACTTTTTACACAGGGGGCCAGTTCACTGTCCCTCAGACCATTGGAGGGCCACCACATACTGTGCTCCTCCTCTCACTGACCACCAATGAAAGAGGTACCCCTTCCTGAAGTGCAGCGGGGGGCCGGATAAATGGCCTCAGGGGGCTGCAGTTTGGGGACATCTGCTCTAAGGGAACAGTCAGCATTACAGAGAGATCACCTCTGTCCAAAGTCACCTGGAAGTTAATGCAATTCACCTCTTAAATTCAGTAGGATTTTTTAAAACTGACTTATTTTGAAAATGAAACTACTTCTTACCATAAAGCCATTAATACACTAATCAAAACCGTGTAGAGTAACACAGTAATAGAAAAAAAAAAAGAAAAGGCTGGGCACCGTGTCTCAAGCCTATAATCCCAGCATTTTGGGAGGCCAACATGGGTGGATCACCCTGAGGTCAGGAGTTCGAGACCAGCCTGACCAATATGGTGAAACTCTGTCTCTACTAAAAGTACAAAAACTAGCCAGGCATGGTAGTACAAACCTGTAATCCCAGCTACTTGGGAGGCTGAGGCAGGAGAATTGCTTGAACCTGGGAGGCAAAGGTTGCAATGAACTGAGATCGTGGTGCTGTACTCTAACCTATGCAACAGTTCAAGACTCTGTCTCAATTAAAAAAAAAAAAAAAAAGCCGGGCGCGGTGGCTCAAGCCTGTAATCCCAGCACTTTGGGAGGCCGAGGTGGGTGGATCACGAGGTCAAGAGATCGAGACCATCCTGGTCAACATGGTGAAACCCCGTCTCTACTAAAAATACAAAACATTAGCTGGGCATGGTGGCACGTGCCTGTAATCCCAGCTACTCAGGAGGCTGAGGCAGGAGAATTGCCTGAACCCAGGAGGCGGATGTTGCGATGAGCCGAGATCGCGCCATTGCCCTCCAGCCTGGGTAACGAGTAAAACTCCGTCTCCAAAAAAAAAAAACAAACAGTGAGGCCACACATGGTGGCTCAGGCCTGTAATCCCAGCACTTTGGGAGGTCAAGGAGGGCAGATAACTTGAGGCCAGGAGTTCAAGACCAGCCTGGTCAACACGGCGAAATCTCTCTGCTGAAAATACAACAAATTAGCTGGGCATGGTGCCAGGTGCCTGTATTCCCACCCACTCAGGAGGCTCTCGAGGCTGAGGCAGAAGAATCGCTTGAACCTGGGAGGTGGAGGTTGCAGTGAGCCAAGATTACACCACTGCACTCCAACCTGAGTAAGAGAGCAAGACTCCATCTCAGAAAAATAAAAAAAACAGAAGTGTATTTCTCCTCCATCTCTTAAGTACAGAGGCAAACAGCTCAGGAATGGGCTAGCAGCTCTTATCTGGGATCCAGTTTCAGCATTCTGCTCTGCCACCCCTAGTGCATAGCCAAGGATCACATGCAGTCATTGTCTGCAGTGGAGCTCTGGCTGATAAATCCACATTCCCAAGCAGCAGAGGAGCTGGAGTGGGGCTAAATAGCCTGCCTACCTATCTCTTAAGGAATGTTAGGCTTCCAGAAGCTGCCAAAGGTCACTTCTGCTTCAGTCCCGTCAGCCAGAACTTAATGACCTGCCTCCTCAACTGCAAGCGAGACAGGAAGGAGTAGCCATCACAGGCCCAGCTAGAATGTCTGTGGAGGAAGGTATTATTCTCAAGAGTCTCCCTATGTTCTATT